ATATTTTTTTCTTCTCACTAATTAAAAAAATAATTCACTCATGTTTTCTTTTAAATAAGCCTATATGGTTTCTTTTTTCCAATTAGATCTCTAATCAATTTGGGGTTTAACCACATATATGGCGTGAGGTAGAAGGCTCTAACTTTATCTTTTGCAACAGTATTTTAGAAGTTTCAAGACCCCCTCAAATTTAGCAAGTTCATAAAAAGTAGTGACAAGAGTCAAGGCAGAAGTTTATTATAGCCAACGACCCACAGCAAGAGCAGTAGAAAACACTGGCAGAGTTCTGAGAAGCACTCAGACTGCTGCACCTTTCTGGTCCAGAGTCATACAGGGCTCACCCTCTCTCCAGCAGGAGAGGACATATGTGGTATGTTTCTGCCCCAACAGTATTGTTTAAATTTTAGACTCCAGGAACTTTATGGAGTAGGCATCATGGTCGCATGGAAGAGATACCCTGATCCCCAGCCAGCCATAGCAACCAAAATTTAGGTCTTCAACAGTGAAAACAGATGTTTGAACACCATAAATCTTGATGTTTGTACAAAGCAATCTGACAAGCTGGCAAATACGGTCCACTGCTCCAGGTGTGCATGGAAAAACCATCAATCGTTGGCATTTTTAAGAGAATGCTAAAGGCTATTTTCCCAGGAGCTGACTGAACATTTAATCACACTTCTGTGTTCCCTTGAAGACTGGAAAGAATCAGTAATCAGATACTCTCTTGTAACTCTTTCCTAACCAGGGAGGGGACCAAGATACGGAGGTAGAAGTGATGAGGTCCAGTAAATGGACGTTAAAGGGATCAAGACATGTTGTGTGCCCAGTGTGGTGACGCACACCTGTGATCCCACCACTCCAGAGACCACGTAGGGATTGTCATAAGTTTGGGACAGCCTGGCTACAGAATGAGTTCAAGGTCAGTCTGAATTATATAATGAGAACTGTCTCAAAACAAAATTTAAAAAATTAAAAACTGAAATGCCTAACCATTTTTCCTAAGTATCTGCATGTAGGTCTCTTTCCCGCACTGATTTGGGCTTCTACCTTTATCACATTCTGAAGTTCCATGTGCACCTTCATCTATCTCGGGATGTTTCTAATCTATTTCTCACTTGTCTGTTTACTCACCCAGTGGTACATGCAAGATTTTCGTTAGATTAACTTTATAGGATAGCAGGCGTGGTGGCATACACCTGTAATTCCATCACTCAGGAGGCACACGCCGCAAACTCAAGGTCAACCTGGGCTGCCTGGCTTATTCAGGGTCAGCCTGGACCATGTAGTGAGACCCTGTCTCAAAACAAACAAACAAAAATAGGCTTTCTGATTTTCCCCATTTCATTTGTAGCATCTGCATGGCTATTTTTTAATTAGCTTGTTTGCCATGCACAATGACTACATCTATTGTGGAGAGTTGCTATGTGTACATAATACATTTTAATTCTTTTTACTTTCCTTTTATTTACTTATTTTTGTCTTTTTCAGTTTTTATCGGTACCAGGGATCGAACTCATGACTGCCTGCTTGCAAGGCAGGCACTTATGCTGCTGAGCTAAATCCCCAGCCCCTCTTTTTACTTTCCTTGGCCCTCTGCTTTTCCCCCTCCTTCCATCTCTTGGTCTCTTTCCCATCTGACCTTGTGCTTGCCAGGCAGACGTTTTTGCCACTGAGCTGTATCTTTAACTCACAATGTAGCTATTTTCTAATGACTAGACATGTTGAACAATTTTCCATACATCTTTTGGCCATTTGTACTTCTTTTTCTGAGACATGCCTATTCATTTCAGTTACCCATTTTTTAATTGGATCTTTCATTTTGGGGAGGATCTAATTTTTTTTTTAGTTCTATATATGTATTCTAGATATTAGTCCTTTGTTCAAGGAGTAGATGGCAATTTTTCTCCCAGTAAACATTTTCCCTTCCGTAGACTGTGTCTGCACTCTGTAGGCTGTTTCCTTTGTCATGTAGTTTTTGATGTAATGCAATCCTATTTTTTTGATTCTTGATACTATTTCTTGTGTAATTGTTGGATACTTCCCCCTCCTCTTGAGATAAGATCTCACTATGCCGTTCAGGCTGGCTTTGAACTCACTTTATAGCCCAGGCTGGTCTCGAACTTGTGATTTTCCTTCCTCAGCCTCCCAACTACTGGGAGTACAGGCATGTGCCCCCATGCCTTACTGCTATTATTTCTTTATAACTTTTTATACAGTTGGAACAATATAATCTGTATGTATGTTTATTTCTATTACATTCATTATACCTATCATTTTAGATGACTACAGTATTCTAGGATAGAATTTAGCCATTTTTTCATGACTTAATTATTTCCTTATCAAAGGTCATTTAAATTGTCTATATTTTGACTATTATAAACAATGCTAAATATGGCTTTTCATTTACTTCCTTGGATAGACCCCCAAGTGGAATTCCTATAAGATGGGAAGTATGCACATTTTGAACTCTATAAGTGCTATCCAAGTGCCTTTTGGTTTTTTTGGTGGTACCAGGGATTGAACTCACGATCTCGCATTTGCCAGGCAGACGCTTATGCTGCTGAGCTAAATCCCCAGCCACCAAGTGCCTTTTTGGAGTGGCGTGGATACTAGTTTGAACCCAGAGCCTTCCACATTCTAGGCAAGCACTCTGGAACTTAACTATTCTCCCATGGCCTTAGGGCTGAGCGCAGCTTAAACTTCCTAGGCTGACCTCAAACTTGTAACCCACAGCTGGGGATTTAGCTCAGCAGCATAAGCGCCTGCCTTACAAGCAGGAATTGTGAGTTCGATCCCTGGTACCGATAAAAACGAAAAAGACAAAAAAAAAAAAAAAAAACAACAAAAAAAAAAACACCTTGTAATCCTCCTACTTCAGCCTTCCAAATAGCTGTCATTTCAAGCATACACTTGCAGAATCGGCTTTGTTTTTAACCATCTTTAGCTGTACAAGTCTATGATATTAAATATATTCACAATGTTGTAGAATTATCCCATCTATTTCTATATCTTTTTGTCTTCCCCAAATGAAACAGTAAGTCTCTATTCCTCTATGCCTACAGCTTCTTTGACCATCCTTCTGTTTTCATTTCTGTTGAATACTGTACTAGATCTAGGTACCCCTCATACAAGTGCAGTCATACAGTATTGTTATTGACGTTGTTGTTTATTTTGCAATGTTGGGAGTGAACCCCTGGATTTGCACTTTGTTAGGCATGCAGCCTAAACTAAACTACATCCTTAGCTCATTTAGTATTTTATTTTGAGACAGGGTTTTTTGTGATCTTCCTGAGGTAGGCTCCCTTTAGCTAGGATGGTAGGTGTGTCCCACCACACTTGCCTGTTATATGTTAATCTTTTTACTTTTGAGACAGGATTTTACTATATAGTTCAGGATGGTCTTGACGTCACTAGATAGCCCAGAATGGCCTTGAACTCATGGTGATCCTCCTGTCTCAGTCTCCCAGGCCCTGGGATTTCAGGCATGTGCCATCACGCTCAGCATAGATTGCTTTTGAATAATGGTAGATCTTACAACATTAAGAGGTTAGAAAGTCAGACTTTATCTACTGTAATTATGATGGCACTCTTAAATACCTAGGTCTTTTTATCTCATATGCATAAGTCCATCTCATTCAATGTCTCTCTCTCTTCTACCATTCTCTTTGAGTAACATCGCCTAATTCCTCTTCTCAATCCTCTGGAATTTACACTGCTCCTTGTGAGGAGACAGTTTTCTTTTCTCAGACTCTGACAGATTCTGACGGAGAGAAAGGTGGAGCCTGGTCCAGGAATAGAGTGGTATATGCAGTCTGATTCAGTTTTCCCCAAGTGAACACAGTAATTTGATTTCCTCACTAATTTCCTAAGAAGGAGGTACATCACTCCCAAATTAATTTTAAATTTATTCAGTAACAATATGTTCTTCTCTCAAATGTGACTTTGCCCCCAGCAATGTTACACTGAGAATCTGACTTCTGAAAACTGGTTTGCAGATATTCTGATAGTATTAGACACTATTTTAGAGAGCAGGGATAATGTAAACCAATTCCAACCTCTCTTCTGTTAAAACTGGGAATTTGGGTGTGGTGGTGCATGGCTGGAATCCCGGCACTCTGGAGGCGGTGGCAGGAGAATTGCCAAGAGTTCAAGGCCAGCCTGTGCTTTACAGTGAGTTCAAGGTCATCCTGAACTACATAGTGAAACCTTGTCCCCAAAAAACTAAAATAAATCAATAAAAAATAAAATTGAAGGGTGAGGTGAGGTGGGATGTTGGCAGATAGATCACAGTTCCTTCTAGACGGCCCCCAATAAATGTGTTTCAATAAATATAATTAACTTTTCATTATGTGATGGAGTATCACAGATGGCTTCAAAAAGAAGTTTCGGGCTACAGCAATGCAATGCATCATTCCTCAAAATAAGTAAACTTACATATTTCAAAATAGGAATTTAATACTAACAAAAAGATTGCCACAGAAGAAACACATAATGTAGTCATTGTACAAAAGAGAGGAAAAGAAAGTACTCTAAACGATATAACTGCATGTATATTTAAGTGTATAAGATAGACAATGATATTACTGAGTTTTGTTGGAGCATTGAACAGAACTGTTTGGTCTCACTGTTTGAATGTCCACTATATAAGCTTTAATTTTGTAACTTGAACAAATATTTCTAAGATGACAATATGTAATCTATTAACTAGTGATTTCCTACTGTTTATTTTTTTCTGAAATTCTGTATAACTTGTACCTTTTTTTCTCCTTAAATAAAATTTAAAAAAAAACACATAATGGGTACTCCAGATGAAACTATTCATCTGGAGTGCCACATAGTGCCACATCACATTACATCTACCTCAGGGGTCTATGAGCAAGTTGTTGCAGAAAGAATACTATGCCCGAAACAGTGGCGACTTAGTCACTTTTGAAAGTGACTCGGTGAGGAGCCTCAAATCCTTCAAAGGGAAACATGGCTGACGTACCTTTAACGTGCGCCACGCAAGCCCCGCCCCCACACCTGAGCCGCACCTTTGCCTAGGTGAACCACATTTCCCAGCGGCCCCTGCGGGCCTTTTGCGCCTGCGCACTGGCAGGGACGGGGGCCGACGGAACTCCCGCGCTCTCCGGTCGCTTGGCCTCACCCGGTGTTGCCCCGCCATGGAGAGGGTCGCTGTGGGGCGGGCCAGCTACGCGGACGCCACCGAGGCCGAGGGCGTCCCCACTCCGTCGCCCCCGCCGCCGGTCTCCCCGCCCGCCCTCGTCCGGGCGACCGACGCGGCGGAAGACGGTCCGGCCCCTCAACCTGAGGCGGGCGCCCCCGGCTGCTCCGGCGCCCGGCCCCCCGAGCTGCAGCCCGAGCGCAGCCTCGGCCACTTGAAGGGTCGCTTCGAAGACTACGACGAGGAGCTGGAGGAGGATGAGGAGCTCGAAGAGGAGGAGGAAGAGGAGGAGGAGGAAATGAGCCACTTCTCGCTGAGGCTTGAGGGGGTCCGGCCGGACTCGGAGGACGAGGAGGAGGTACGGCCCCTGCCGACCTGGCGGTCCCTTGCGGCCGCCCGCGCTTCTCCGCCTGCCCGGCGCGTGGCGCTACAGACCTCCCCCGCGCCGGCCCTTCCCGAAGCGAACCTCGGGAGGTGCCTGCAGGTCGCGGAGGTTCCGGATCTGCTCATTCATTCTGGGAGCGGTTCCTGGGGCCGAGGCGTGGCGGGATGGCTGAGCACCTGGGGTCCGAGCTCGCTGTCGGAGAGGAAGATCGTCCCTTTCTGCGGGATGGGGAGAGACGAAAACGCGATCCCCGCCTTATCATTCTCCAATCGGGCAGAATTTTGTGTTTGTTTAGACGTAGTAGCTCAGTTTTCCTCGTTAGATGTTAACGATGGAAAGTTTGCCCATTTTGTGAGTCGCGTAGGGAAGTGCTGCTGGTTGTCAGTATAAGGAGTATCCAAGAGCGTGAACTCCTTTGAAACAGTGCTTTTCCGTTTGTAACTTTCAGCCCCTTTCTAAAGACTGGAGGTGTGTTTCTACGTTGTAACTAAGATATACACATTGTTTAGAATGAAGTCTTGAAATTATAGTTTAGGTTGATTGAAACAGTCGTGCTGTATTGTCCAAGCTGATCTCCAACTCTTCAGCGGACGCTAACCTCAAGCCTCAAGTTTCTGAAGTAGCTGGGACCGCTGCGTCTAGTTGATTTAAGAATTTGAGGAGTCAGAAGTTTGTATAGTAAACCTATATCCATTGCATTTGCAGCGCCTGATTAATCTCACTGAGCTGACCCCATACATCTTGTGTTCCATTTGCAAAGGTTACTTAATAGATGCAACTACCATTACTGAATGCCTTCATACCTGTAAGTACATGGTTTGTAATTTTGAATAAAATTTCTGATTTTTGAAATGTCTTTAAAGCATCCTAACGTAAACATTTTTTAACAGTTTGTAAAAGCTGCATTGTAAGACATTTTTACTACAGCAACAGATGCCCAAAGTGCAACATAGTGGTACATCAGACACAACCTCTTTATAACATAAGGTAAGAGGAATACATTAAGTAGCAATCATTTTAAGTGTAGTTTTTCTAAAAGCTTGATGTTGTATATAGGAATAAATTCTTGATCTGCCTCAAAATTAGAAGAGAACTACATATTCTTTTAAGAAATGAGTGTGAAGTACTTACTATGTACGAGGCACTGTGATATCTGTTGGAAATTCAAAAGGAAAGAAAAATAGAGGCCTCTTTTCTTGGGGGTTTTAATCCTATTACACAAGTTCATTTCCTTGTTTACAGTTGTTATTTTTTATTATATAGTATTCAGAAGTTGTTTTGGAAATAATACCTGAAATAGCTGGCTTCTTTAGTAAAATCTGTCATACATAGAGCATTGTGTATTGTTAATCAAGTTTTCAGTTCATGCTCATTTTCCTAAGAAAAATATTGAAAGTAGATTACTTCCATTCACCTGGCAGATACTGTTAAGTTTTTATTCCTTTTATAGAAGAGTGCTTTGTAGATAATACACAGCAGTTAAAAATGGGGAGTGGGATGTAGCTAAGTATGGACTACTTGTCTAGCATGCACAAGGCCCTAGATTTCATCCCTATTAAGGGAATAAGATCAATACACAGAAACAATTTAGTGAACAGAATCCTTGGGTACTTACTTTTGTGTATACTTGAGGTTCTGTTGGTCTCTTGGATGAGCTACATCTCAGGAAATGGGAGAGATCCTCTCCCAAGGGAAAATATGTCAACTCACTCTGTAGCAAAATGGATTTATCCAAATTCTGAGGTATTCTTCATCCTTTCCTTTTATTAGGTTGGACCGGCAGTTACAAGACATAGTGTACAAATTAGTGATCAATCTAGAGGAAAGTAAGTTTTTTTTATTACATAGTTGTGAATCTCAGCATCTCTGACACTGTTAGTTGCATTTTAAATGTAATGTAGTCTGTTTTATCATTTTTTAGGAGAAAAAAAGCAAATGCATGACTTTTATAAAGAAAGAGGTCTAGAAGTACCTAAACCTGGTAAGTTTGGATGTATACTGTAATGTATTTGTAGGTTAAATAATACTAATTTAATAAAATTTATGTCCTATGAAGTTCTTTTTGGTGATAGCTAGTTATATGATCAAAGAGAAAAATAATTTGAACGTAATGCTGTGATGTAACACAATTTGGTTGTTTATAAAAATTAACAGGTATGGGGCTGGAGATTTAGCTCAGTGGCATAAGCGCCTGCCTTGCAAGCAGGCAGTCGTGAGTTCGATCCGTGGTACCAATAAAAAAGAAAAAGACAAAAAAAAAAAAAATTAACAGGTATTTGACTGTCTATAAGATTAAGGGAACTAAATTTTCTGAGTTTGTTCCTAGCTCTGTCAGTTACTGGGTAACTTTTAGCAAATCACTTCAATATCTGTTTCCTCATCTTTAAAATATCAATAATAATAGCACTTCGTTATAAAAATACTTTTTTTTTTTTTTTTTTTTTTTTTGGTACCAGGAATTGAACTCAGGCTCTTGCCAGGCAAGCACTGTGCCAGTGAACTACATCCCTGGCCCTATAAAATTACTTCAAGTAGTACAAGTACCTAAAACAGTACCTGTCATGTAGTAACTCCTCAAACATTATTGTATGCGATGCTAGTAATGTCTTAGTGTATAAGTCAGATTTGCATTTAAACCTTGATTCTTCCACTACCTGGTAACCCTGGGCAAGTTAACTAATCTGCTAAGCTTCAGTGTATTAGTTTTTAACAAGTTGCAGTAATACGTATATTATAGGATTATAAAAATTAAGTGAGCACAGGGTACGGTTGTACATGCCTGTAATCCCAGCATTTGTGAGGCCGAGGCAAGAAGATTGTTGCAAATTCAAGGCTACGTTAAACTTCACAGTGAGACCCTGTCTTGAGAAAAAAAAAAAAAAAAGAATAAGAATTAAATGAGATGATGTGTGTGGAGTGCTAAGCATAGACCATGGCATATGGGTGGTGTTTATATAGCATTATCTACAAGTATTTTTGCTGTTCTGATGAGCTCTCTGTGTCCCTGGTAAGCTGGTCCTACCTGTCTGCCTTCCGTTGTGGAATGGTCCCTGAATTTGTCAGTAATATCATTGCCATTGACAAGTGAGCTGCTATTATTAATGAAAGCAAGAGTGATTGAGTGCTGCTGAACTTTTACTTTTTTTGTTTTTTTTTTTGATAGGGGTTTCATTATGCAATTCAGACTGACTTTGAACTCACCTCGTATCCCATGCTAGCCTTGAACTTGCAGGGTTCTTTCTGCCTTAGCCTCCCACATGCTGTGATTACAGGTGTGCGCCACCATGCCCAGCATAGTGCTGGTGAACTTTTTGTCAACATGTAAAACCTGTGTAATTATTTTTTTAGAGATCTCAATTTATGAAATTTTTATCCTAAATCAGCTTTTTTGTTTGCTATAAAATAGCTATGCCACAGACTGCCCCTTTAAGCAAAGGAAGAACTAAGAAAGTCCTAGAATCAGTGTTTCGTATTCCACCTGAACTTGATATGTCTTTATTACTGGAATTCATTGGGTGAGTACCCTAAGAAATATATTTTTTAACCTTAACATAGTGTTTTTCCAGATAGTTGAGGCTAGTCGTGAATTCACTGTGTAGCCCTGGCTCGCCTCAGACTTAGGGTGATCCTTATACGTTAGCCTCCAGAGTGCTGAGATTATAGGATACACCATCATACCTGATCGTAAAGAATTTTTTTTTTTTTTGGTGGTACTGGGGATCAAACTCACAACCTCTCGCTTGTTAAGCAGGTGCTTATGCCCTGAGCTAAATCCCTGGCCCCGTAAAGAATTTTTTTAAGTCGCAACAATTCTGAAGTTATCCTGAACTCAGTTAATGTCTTTTTTTTCTGATATCCTTTTAGAAATTAATTGTGGAATATTTGTGATTTAGAAAAACATTTAAAGAGGCCAATAACTTCTGGTATTTCTTTATTTGGCTTAAGAAATAAATCATTACTAGCTAGGTGTGGTGGCCTACATCTAGTCCCAGCGACTTGGGAGGTTGAGGCAGTTTTATGAGATCCTGTTGCAAAATAAAATTGAAAAGGTCTGTTTCCTGATTTTAACATCCAGTGCCATTGAAAAAAGGAAGGTTTTTTCTGTGTCTGTGAGGGAGGATTATTAATGTAGCATAAGTCTTCTGTTATTCTCCTCCCTTAGAGGTTAATAACCACTTTTTTTCCTTTTTAAAAAAAATTTAGTAGCAGGCAGTCGTGAGTTCGATCCCTGGTACTGATAAAAATGAAAAAGACAGAAAAAAAAATTTACTGATACATTTTAGATATACATAATGATAACATTCATCACAGGGAATTTGTATCTGTACACAATCTGTCTTGCTTTTTTCCTACTCCCTTCCCCTCCTCCAACCCCTCTTCCCTCCTTATTTAAAAAGCTTTGTTTCCATTCTTTTATTTGTCTTGTCCCTTCTTTTCTTTCCCACTCCCCCTTCTACTCCTTCTCATTTGAACATTTTCTTCCCATTTCCCACTATGACCACTCTCTTAAAACTACTCTCTGGTGGCACACGCTTATAATTCCAGCATGTGTGACTTTGAGGCAGGAGGATCAATGCGAGTTTGAGGCCAGCCTAGACTACATAGTAAGCTCATAATCTATATATTGAGACTTTTCTTCAAAAAAACAAAAACAAACCAAATATGTCATAACTTATATTATTTTTGTGCTATTTGTTAAACATTTTGGTTATTTCCAGATTTTTGGTTTTGTTTTGCTAGTTACTGTTTTGCTATAAATATTTTTGTGCATTCCTTCTTGTGTACATGGGACATAATTCAGTAAGAGAGTAGATTTGCTGAGTTTTAAGTTATATTCCTTTTCAAGTTTATTTGATTTTGCCAAATTATTTTCCAAAGTTGTTAGATATCTAATTCAAGTAAATCAATTTCTTTATAACACTATAGCATATAGTATATTCTTTTATAGTGCAAAATTGTGAGACAGATCATCATGATCATAGTCCACATGTAATAAAATACAGTTTTTAATTACTATATGTATAGTTCACAGAATAAAATGTTGTCTTAAAAGAAATATCTGTATTTTCCATTTTGTATCACTGCTGGCTAATTATTTTTCAGTCACTTCTTAAAACTGTAGGCCACCTATATTATTTAGTATCTAGTTTGTGTTACATTTTGTTTATCTCCTGTGTTCTCATTTTAAGATTGTAAGAACCATAAAAGGCAGGAAACTTTCCTAATGCATCCACAAACCCATATGAGAGAGAGTGATGATAATGAAATAAAGCTTTCTTTGGAAGAATTAGAAGAACCAACAATTTTTTTGGCTTGTTTGTTTGAGATAGTCTTGCTATGTTGTTCAGGCTGGCCTCCAACTCCCAGTGATTCTTTCGCCTCAGCCTTCTGAGTGCTGGGCTTGCAGGTATGTGCTGCACACCTGGGAACAATTCCAAAAGTCTAGTCCAGCAATTTTTATTGTTAGGGTGTGTTTCAACCTCAATGTCCTGCAGGAACTTTAAATTACCATATATGTCCATGTATGAATATATACTAATATAATAATGTGTATACTGATATGGGACAATCTTCAAGGCATATTAAATGGAAAAGGCAAGGTACATATAACATGTGTCCCTTTATGGTTTGGCTTTGTTTTATAAGGGTGGTGGAAAATATATGCAGTGTACCTCTGTGCATGTATGATGCTAGCAGCTGACTCCACGGCCTTGTATATGCTAGGCAAGCACTCTACCAGAGTTACATCCTCAACTGTTTTAAATTTTTTTTTTTTTTTTAAAGACAAGGTTTTGCTATGAAGGCTGGCTTCAAACTTGGTATCTTCTTCCTTCATCCTCCTGAGTAGCTGGGGTTTTAGGTGTGCCAGGCGTGTACCAGGGCACCTGGCTGACTTAAATTTTTTTTTTTTTTTTTTTGGTCTTTTTGAGACAGGGTTTCACTGTGCTGTTCAGACAGGCTTTGAACTCACTTTGTATCCCAGGCCAGCCTCAAACTTTCAGTAATCCTCCTGCTTTAGCATCTCAAATCCTGGGATTACAGGTGTGTACTACCATGCTTGGCATGACTTAAATCTTAATAAGAATAGTTAATTAAAGATTGAAAGTTCAGTTCTAGGAAAACAATCACAATTTCAAGCCCAGCTTGAGCATCTTGCTGACTTAGCAAGACCCAGCCTCAAAATATAAAAATTTTAAAAACGGCTATTGGATATAGCTTAATGAAAGGCTCTGGGTTCAATCCCTAGTGTAAAAAGAAAAGAAAAAAATGAAATTGAAATGGAATTTGTATCTGTGAAAACATTATTTTAGAGCTGGGCCTAGGTGTGGTTGAACATACTTATAATTCTGTTACTTGAGAGGCTGAAATAGGAAGATCATCTCAAGTTCAAGGCTAGCCTGGGACATTCACTGAGTTCAAGGCCAGCCTAAACTATGCAATGAGGCATTGTTTAAAAAATAAATAAATAAATAAATATTTTAAGCAAAAAGAAAAAAAAAACCAACAGAGCAATTTGGGACCTTGAGACAGGAGGATTGCAAGTTTGAAGCCTGGGGCAGCATAACAAAACCCTATTTCAAAATAAAAAATAGAAAGATATGTTGATATAACTCAGTGTCCAAGCAACCGCCAGTATTGCAGGAGAAAAAAAATTATTTTGGAGAAACCAGGAGGAACTGGCAATTTTTACTGTGTCTGGTTTGTTTTTTTTTTTTTTTTCCTAATTTGTTTTTGAGACAGTCTTTGCTTTGTAGCACAAACTGTGTGTGATTTTATGATCCTCCTTGCTTCATCCTCCCAAATGGTAGAATTACAGACATACTTCACCACACCTGGCTGAAATCAGTTTTGGGTACCTTTTTTAAAAAGTGTGCCACAAAAGTTCTTGCTACAGGGGCTGAGGATTTAGCTCAGCGGGCCAACCACTTGCCTTGCAAGCACAATCTTGTGAGTTCCGTCCCCAGTACCAAAAAAAAGTTCATGTTACTGGGGTAACCTATGCAGATTATTGATGACAGGAGAAATGGCAGGTGAGTTTTAGCTTAATGCAAATAGAAGAGCAAATGTGATCTAACTGGTGGTTGTGTTTGAATTGGAAAAGGAAAACTACTGAGGTAGGTTCAGCCTGTGCACAATAAGTTTTCAACTGATGGAATATAAAACTTGATTTCCTCCCAAAATTGAGTATACGTGTTTTGTGACCTTACAACAGTCTATTATCCTTTTTTGTTCTTTAGTTTCCAAATATAAAGTAGATTATAAAAAAAAAGTCTAGGGGGCTGGGGATTTAGCTCAGCGGCATAAGCGCCTGCCTTGCAAGCAGGCAGTCATGAGTTCGATCCCTGGTACTGATAAAAAGGAAAAAGACAAAAAAAAGTCTAAGATGGTGGCATACACCTGTGTTTTCCAGCACTCTGAGAGGCTGAGGCAGGAGGATCACAAGTTCAAGGCCAGCTTGGTGAGACTAGCAATTTAGAGAGACTCTGCCTCAAAATAAAAGTTTCAAAAAGTACTGTAACATGGTTCACTAAAAAAGCCCTGTATTAAACCCCTGGCCTTGGAAGGAAAAATCTAAGACAATATAGTATAGCATATACACTTCATTTTATCCAGAGGTCAAGGAATGATAAGTAAGGCACTGCTGCGTACAGAAAGAGCCTGGTTTGTTTTTGTTTAGATTTGTATTTTTGAGTCAGAGTCTCATTGTGTTGCCCAACCTGTCTCAAACATGAGGCAATCGTCCTGACTCAGTCTCCCAGAGTGCTTGGATGACAGGTGTGCACTACCACACTGGTTAAAGTTTTGAGGCGTGTAATTCAAGATATGTAACTTCTGGGATATAAGTTTTTTATTTAATCATGAGTTCTATTCCTCTCTCTCTCTCTCTCTCTCTCTCTCTCTCTCTCTCTCTGTGTGTGTGTGTGTGTGTGTGTGTGTGTGTCTGTGTGTGTGGCTTTTTCTTTCTCTCTTTTCCCTTGTACTGGGGACCAAATGCAGGGCCTTTGCACCAAGATAATCCCCAGCCCATTTTATTTATTTATTTTTGAGACCCATATCATCGTTACTAAATTTCCCAGACTGGGCTCAAATTTGTGATCTTTCTGCCTCAGCCTCTGAGAGAGCTAGGATTCAGACAAGTACTATTATGCTCAGCAGTTCTGTGTTTTGAAGTTGAAGACTAATAGCAATTCACAGGATTGTTGTAAATCACCAGCATATTTTTACATGTCTAAACCATTGTCATTACATGAATATTGAAATAATGCAGTGTCATTTCACAATAAAAGTGTAATGATCCATAGCAATGTAATATGTAGAACATGAACCCTGAGTGTGATGGGACAGAAACTTGATGCATTATACGCTCTACAGTGTGTAGTTGGATGTGCAGCAGTGTTTGGTAAACAGGAGCAATAATGTCATAGTGTCGTGTATGTTGTGTAACTCCATCTGGAACGTCTCACCTCTAAGTACCATTCTATTTACATTTTGTTTCTGTGTAGCATTTTAACAGAGTAACAAATGAAGTCATAATCAGAATAATAAACTTGAAAATATATCATATTTGGCAGTTGGAGAAATATCAGTATTTGAGAAAGAGGAAGCAATGATAAATCCTCTAGTTAGTTTCAAATATTAATAGGAGATTATCCCATAAGATAGTCTTATTCACAGAAGTACTAATGGGCAAAACAAGGACCAGCAGGTAGTCGTTAACGGGGAAAAAACATGTGATTTCGTGTAAGCACTTTCTGATGAGGTTGCCTACAAATGTGGGCTGATTTGTCAGTTAAAAAGCTTTCTCTTAAGATATTCAGGCAGACATCAGGTGCCCATATACAGTGCTTTATTTTTTGTTTGGGCATTTGTTTGCTTGTGAATAGGACCCAGTGTCTTGTGCATTTTTAGGCAAGTGCTCTACCACTGAGCTATATCCCTAGCCTATTTATTTATTTATGTGATTGGGATTAGGACTTTACACATGCCAAACATCTACTCTACCACTTTGTTACCATCCAAAAATCATTTTTGGAGTAAATGAAATGTTTTGTTTTTAACTATAAAATTATATAATCTTACATGTATATGGATGGCACTATTTTAGGAGGTGGTTTGAGGCAGGGTGACACTATGTAGTTCAGGCTGGCCTTAAACTCACTATGTAGCCCCAACCTGGCTTCAAACTCAGCCATTTTGCCTCAGCCTCCCTAGTGCTGGGATTGTGCACCACCACACACCCAGCTGGCATTTTATAGTTACATAATATATATTTGTAGAATTTGTGTAATATTTATATTCTATGCTGTATAACATGTTTCAAACACAATTTACAGGTATATGTTAGTATACTATACTATATTATATATGATACAAATTATATGTAATACTGTGTGTTTGTGTGTGTGTGTGTGTGTGTGTGTGTGTGTGGTGGTGGTGGTAGTTATACCCACAGCTTCAAATATGCTAGATAAGTGCTCTATCACTGAGCTAGTACCCCCAGGCCATTCATATATTTTTATTATAAAGAATATTTAGAGCCAGGTATGTTGGCATGCACCTGTAATCCCAGCACTCTTTTGTTTTTTTTTTAGTGTATCTAGAGTCAAACTCAGGACCTTGCTCTTGCCAGGCAGGTGCTATGCCACTGAGCTATATTCCCTGCTCTTTAGCATTCTTAAGAAGCTGAGGCAGGAAGCTTGCAGGTCCTAGCCCAGCCTGGGCAATGCAGTAACTTAGACTGTATCTCAAGAGAAAAATAAGGGGTTTAAGAGACAGCTCATTGAAGGTCCTGGGTTCAGTAAACAATAGCAAATTAATTAGTTAATTCTAGTCAGGTGTGTATGGTGGTTCATTTCCTATAATCCAAACTACTGAGGAGACTCTCTCAAAATAAAAAGAGCTGGGGATGTAGCTCAGTTGTAAAGCTCTTGCCCAGCCTGAGCAAGGCCCAGACTTGCATCCCTCCTTCAAAAACAAACTGAAGCTGATACAGTTGTAACCTTGCCTCTTACTCAACACACAGCAGGGAAGAAGAAACATGCAGCTGTGCCTGGTGGTGCATGTCTAATCCCAGCTACTTGGGAGGCTGCCTGGCAGCACAGTGAGGCAGTATCTTAAAAATGATGAGAAACAGCAGCAGCAGCAGAACACATGAGCATTAATGCTAGGCATGGCTCAGTTTAAACCCAAGCTTAATAAAGCTTGATGATTTTCTTGCTCTGATGGTCTTGTAGGTATGAAGACCTGATAGAACATAATAGATGTTCAGCCACTGTTAGTGCTCCTTATCTCCCCCATGATATGAGACTAATTGATTTATTCAAGAATCTCTTTGTGCTTCTAGGTGAAAGACATATATAAGTAAAATCATCCCCAGGTTGGTATTCAGCAAGTAAACAACAGAAACAGAGCAGACTTCTAGGAAATCTTAGCTAGGTATGTTAATGCGCACCTGTATGCTTAGACACGAGGGAGATGAAGGCAGGAGGATTATGAATTTGAGCTCGGGCCAGGGATTTAGCTCATAGCTCAAGCACTTGCCTGGTAAGCATGAGGTTGTGAGTTTGATCCCTGTTACCAAAAAAAAAAAAAAAGGAAAGGAAGAAAAAGGAAAAGAATTTGAGGCTCACTGGAGAATATACCAAGACCTCATCTCAAGAACAGAAAAAAAAGTCATGTGGTGGTGCATGCTTGTGATCCCAGCACTTGGAGTAAAATAAAATTTTTGGTGTGTTTTTCCATAAAGAAAAAGAATATACTTTTTAATTTCTGAAGTATGGCCTAGTATAACATGCTGGATAAAACTGCCTTCTATTACCACTAGGTGGCAGGAATAACAATTACATTAGTTTATTTTATAAAGATTTAGGTGACCATATTATAAAATAAAAATAAACATATTTCTCAGTATTTAGATTTATTTGTTATTGTATTGCGATTAAATATAAAAGTGTTAAATGGTGATTAACTTTGCTCTCATTTTTCAGTGCTAATGAAGACACAGGACATTTTAAGGTATTTTACTTTTTTTTATTCATTTCATAAGAGGACCCTGTAGCGTAATGCAAGTTTGAGTGTTACATACCATAAAATGGAAGTTGTCTTCAATTACTGTAAACAATATTTCACAAATAAATTATTTAAGTAGCATCTTCAACAACAGTCTGTTATAATAGTTTCTGAGAAGAGGAATTATTAAATAGGAATTTGTTATTAATTGAGAACAATAGCCTAAGGAAAAATAAGTGAAGACTCTAAAACCAAATGCTATGTTAATTTGGTGAGTAAAAAATTTCAAAGCCTTTTTTTTTCATAGTTGGTATTTAAAGTTAAACATGAGCTTAAAATTTTATTTACATGTAACATTTTTAACTCAAGTTAACCTGCTCCAACTTGCATTTATAGATTTTAGGGGTAAGAACATACTTGTAACATACTTAAACTCAGAGTTGTTTTAAGGGCTCCAAAATTCCAAATGTTGTTGTGTAATATTGCTGCTATAGTATGAGCCATTCGGGAAAAGGAAACTCCTGCTTGGGTGTGGTGGCTCATGCCTACAGTCTCAGCATTTGGGAGGTGGGGCTTCGAGTTCAAGACCAACCTGGGCTACATAATGGGTTCAAGGCTAGCCTGGTACAGCAAGACCTTTTCTCAAAAAACCAAACCAAAAAAGAAGGGAACTTCTTTAAAAGGGTAAACTATGCCTTGTAGTTACTTGGGATTGTAAATATATAAGGAATGGGTAACTGTTTAAGATTTTCAATGACTTTGTAAAAGTCTATGCTAAGATTCAGATGAGTTACACCTTTTAGTATCCTGTGTTTTGTGAATATGCTAGATTAGAGACATGAATAGGAAAAGATAAGTACTTCTCTGGATGTGAAGTTTATGACAAATATCTTACTCAGTGTGATGGAGGGAATACAGCAGTAAGTTCTGGTGATTTTTGATAACTGTAAACCTCCTTTAACATTGTAAATATCAAACAGTGATAATTCATTTTAGGAAATTGTTTCATAGAATTTGTTTATGAAACTTTCGTATCAATGATATGTTTCATAACAAGGTAGGAAAGTGGCAGAAAGTTTCTGCATGGGTTATACTGTTTTAGTATTCCATTATCTGTCCAACAATTTGTGGTAGCCAGACAGACTAGCAGTTCGAAAACCTCATGAAAGAACTAGAAAATAAATTGAAATGTTACTTAGTTTCTTCCATAAAAGCACATGTGTATCTAGGGTATTTATATAGTTCTGATCCTTGCACATCAAAAACACATGATAGACATCTCACATATAAGATGTTCTTGCCAAAACAAACATGGGAGGATCATGCTTCTACATTTAATTGCTAATTTCCAGGAAACACAGGAAGAGAGGAACATGTTAAATGACACTGAAGGAATATCCTAAATCTAGATAGTGGGAAACTACATGACAAAAGATTCCTATTGGGGGCTGGGGATTTAGCTCAGCGGCATAAGCGCCTGCCTTGCAAGCAGGTAGTCGTGAGTTCGATCCCTGGTACCGATAAAAATGAAAAAGACAAAAAAAAAAAAAAAAGATTCTTCTTATTATTATTATTATCACTGGGTTTTTTGAGACAAGATTACTCACTGTGTGGTGTAAGTACATGGTGTACTTAAGTACATAACCACTCTATGTGATTTTGAACTCAATTTGTAGTGCAGGCTGACTCCAAGCTTTTAGCTGTCGGTCTCAGTCCAGCCAGTAAACTTGTGTGCCCCAGCAGCTCAAAGTGCTGGGATTACAGGTGTGTGCCTCCACATCTAGCTTATCTTCCTTTCAAGGGAAAGAGATAAAAAAGGAATCTGTAGATGGAACCTGCTGAATAAAACAGCTCAAAGTACATATAAATCGGTTGTGGTATATGCACCATATTTGGGTTTGGTTTGAAAAGTATCCTGTAAAGCTTTTTCCTTCGAGATATAGTCCTAAATTGGAAACAACCTAAACATCCATTACTGATGAATGCATAAACAAAATGTGGTATATCTATGTAAAGGAAAATTATTTGGTAGTGAAAAGGAATAGTAGGGGAAAAAAAGGACTAGTGTTCTGATACATGCTACATCATAGATGATCCCTTAAAACATGGTGCTGGTGGAAGAAGCCAGACACAAAGACGCATCTGTTGTTGTCTTCCATTTAGATCAAATGTCCAGGACAGGAAACTACAGGTACAGAAAACAGACTAAGTGGTTGCCAGAGTCTGATGGGAGAGATGAAATGGAGGGTGACTGTTAACTTAGATGAATTTCTTTTTAGGGTGACGAAGACATTCTGAAATTAGGAATGATGGCCGTGCAACTTTGTAAATATACTAAATCCATCAAAGTGCATACTTTTTTCCCCATATAATTTGTAAAGGGTAAATTTAATGGCATATGAAGCATATCTGAATAAAGCTGGTTTTTGTTGTTGTTTTGTTTTGTTTTTTATGAGACAGAATCTCACTGTGTGGTTCAGGCTGCCTTGAGTTCACCAGGTAGCACAGGCTGGCTTAGAACTCACAGTGATCGTCTTGGCTCAGATTCCTGAATGCTGGGATCACAAACATGCACCCCCATATCTGGTCTCAAACATTTTAAAAAGATAAACCAGATTTAGTAGAAATTCTGAACAGAACCATTGTTTACAATTTACTGTAAACATTTTGAGACTGTGGTGGGTATGGTAGCACACACATAACATCCCAGCCCTCAGTAAGCTGAGGCAGGGGGACCACTGAGAGGTCCAGGGCAGCCTGAACTGCATGGCAAGACACTGCATCAAAAAAAAAATAGAGAACAACAACAAAGATATTTAGGTGGACATGATGGTGCACATGTGTAGCCCCAGAACTCACACTTGGGAGGCTAAGGTAGGAAAGTTGAGTCTGAACTATATAGTTTCTCAATAAACCACCCAGTCAACCAACCAAATAAATAAATAGGATATAATAACAAAAATTTAAATATGGGCTTGTTTAGACAGTTGCATCAGATACATTGGAATCCAGAATTTTCTATTTGCAGATAGTGGAATGCTATTAGGTATAGTGTATAGAGAGGAAGAAGCAAAACATCTTTGAAAAAGCTGTGGGTCAGTTACACAGAAAAAAGCCTCTTTCAACTTGTGAGCATGGAGTATGAGATCTTCAGTTAGTCGTATCAATTCCCAAATTTAAATACCAAGATTGATTTTTATCTTTCAAATATTGACTTATCTCATAATTCTAAGAATTATAGTATTGATAACTCTAGCTAAATTAATTTCATCAAACACTTGGGATAAGGAGCCCAACAGGAATTTAGAAACCAAAGATTGGATTGTCCTCTGCTTATATACCAGAAACCTGTTCTTAAGATGCTAAGGCCAGAATCATCACAAGTATATTGATTGGCGGAAGGCATCCCATTAAATTATCCAGATATAGCTTCTTAGGGCATCAGATGAGATTCTCATGCTAATCAGGTGGGGCCATGCAGGCTCCTCTGGGATGCTGCTCCATCTCCTCTTTAGTGAGGTTGCCTGTACTTTGTAAAATATGTCTATATCTATATTCAAAGAGCGTGAGAACTGCAGGCCCTTTATGGTACCTATATTCCTGCACTCCAGGAGGCTAAGGCAGGAGGATCACAGGTTCAAGCCCAGCCTGGGCAATTTGGTGACTTAGGAAGACCCTGTCTCAAAATAAAGGGGGCTGTAGCTCAGTGGGATGGTACTGGATTCAGTCCCCAGTGTTTCACATGTACACGTGCACATGAGTGCGCACACACAAGAACTTTGGCATTTTTGTCCAGGTGATAAGTGACAAATGATTTCCCTGTAGGAGTTAAAAATCCTTCACATAAAGAACAACCCAGCGATACAAGATACTTTAAAGACAACTAGTTCACGACACAGCAGTAATAATTCTTCAGTGCTTACAGTGTGCCAGATACCGTAGTTGCTTCAGGAACTTGCACAAAACCTTGCACCTAGAGAATGCAAAGCCAGGGTTTCAGCCTAGGAAGCCTGTGTCTGGAGTACCTGTACTCTTGCCTCTGTGGTCTGCTGGGCCGTGATAACAGAGTGAGTCATCTGTCTAACGTAGCTATCTAATTTACTATTAGTTTTAGTCAGGAAGGGACTTTTGTGAACCAGACTTCAGATAAGATTTATGTGAAAGCAGTATGCCTCTAACCTGTCCTGGCCCTCTGGGTCACCACAGGCCCCTTTTCTATTAGTGCTAGAAAAACTTAGGAAGTTTCCTAAAAGTTACATTTTTATTCCTGATTTCCTCAGCTTTTCATTCACATTAGTTGATAATAGACTTAATTGTCCCAAAGAGAAAGGCTAGGTAAGCATTAATTTCTACTTTCTAAACTTAGGTCTCCTCTACCTGCCACCTTCACCTCATGGCCACACATGTCTAGATGTTAATCTTTTCATTTAAAAGAAAGACCTTTTTTATGCTTGACTTTGGTTTTATTTTTGAGTCATGATCTCGCTGTATTGCACAGGATGGTCTTGAACTCCATTCCTGGGCTCCAGTGATTCTCCTGCCTTGGACCACAGCATGCTTCTTATGGAAATAATTTACTTTTAAGAGTAGGAAAATTTACTGGAGAAAAAGTATGGGAATAGGAATAGAGAATAAGACAGGAGGGGTCCCAAATGGATTGCCTTTATTATGGAAATTTAAAAGCTCATAAAACAGTAGAACAGTATAATGAACACTTACATATTCTGTGGTATTATAAACTTACAACCAGGGGCTGGGGATTTAGCTCAGTGGAACAAGTACCTACCTGGCAAGCATGAGGTTCTGAGTTTGATTCTTGGTACCAAAAAAACCCACAACCAATCTTGTTTATACCTTTACCACTTTTACTCTTGTCATAAGTTAATTTTCCCTCTTGTATTGCATATTGAACCCAGGACCTTTGCACTGAGCCACAACTGCTTTTTTCTTTTCTTTTCTTTTCTTTTTTTTTTTTTAATTTTGAGAAAAGGTCTTGCTAAGTTGCC